ATATATATATTTATATTTAATTAATTTTTTTAAGTTTAAAGTTACTAATTAACTTTAAAATTACTAATTAAAATGATTTTTTAATTCAGTTTTTGTTATTTTAAGGTTATTTTAAGGCATTTTTATACGTTAAAATATGTTATACAAAGTTATTAGCTGCCATATATTTTATGTTTACACAGTTTAAATATTAAAACTGGATTCGAAAAATAATATTTTAAATCTCTATAATTGTATATTGTTTTATATAATATAGTACAATGTATAAAAATGCTTAAAATTAACTGAAATTCAAACATCTGAAGCACCTTATAATTAAAAATAGTAATAAAAAATAATTCGCATTATATTTAAGACATAAATTTAAATATTTAATCATAAAATAATTAGATAAATGATAAAATTACTCACAAAGCAATATTTCGCCCTGGAATTTTTTAATCCAGTAATCAAGTAACTTCTTCCATTTTCTTCCCAATTACCATGGCAATGAAATGCTAAATGAAAGATTAGCATATAATTTTAAATATGTAAAGAATATTTTTATTAAATTAGAAATAAAAATTGATTTTTCCCAGAATTAATAGAATGAAATTTATATTTCTTACTTTGAACATCTTTAAAAGAAGCGCACATGGTTAGAAATTCGAGTGTGTCGTGTGCTCGACATCCGACAACAACTGCAGTTGTTTCACGACACAAATCAGCCTTGACAATACTTGTTCGACCAGCTTGGACCCTCAGTCCGTTTGTCTCTACAATTCTTGGACATTTGCGGGCTGTCGGAGATCTCGCTGAAGAAAGAAAACAAAAATATACATAAATAATCCTGTAACTTATATATAAGAAGCATCATGTTTGATAGCTTTTCTTTATACACGTATCCTATAAATTGTAAAGCAAAATGATAAATTAAGTAAAAATTTCTATTATTATAAATAAATAAAAAATATGAGTAAAATTTTATAAAATTCTATTTTTATATATATATTTTTTTTTTATTCTTTTAGTAGTATGACATTTCAATGCAATTTTCCGAGCACAAATGCAAAAATCGCAATTTCTTTAAATCTTATCAAGGAAAGAAATTTTTTTTTTTTATTCTTTTCCCATCTCTCCCTGAACTTATTTCATCCTTTTATGCACGTCTATTATGCTTTCTATAGCCTAGAGATTTTTTCCATTATTTGAAGAATTTTGAAGTTTTGAAAAATTTAATTTTGGAATGTATTAGTTTTTTCCTCTCTTCTTCTTAAGTAATAGCATTTTGCCTATAATGTTTGCATTTTTGAATTTATGAAAATGCAAAATTATTCTTTTAACACTATATTTTTTTAATAATTTCTTTAGAATATAATGATACTTACTGATTAATGTGACGAATTCTGTGGACATGTCAGGGAGAGTTGGAGCACAAGCATCTTGTGGACGTCTTGAGAATCCTCCTAACAGAAAATTCACAAAAAGATGGAAATTATTAAATGATACTTAAATTAGTTGATATAACTTATGAATAAAGTAAAGTGTCTTCAAATGCAGTAATAATGTTTTATTCTCTCTCTCTTTCTTTCTTTTTTTTTTAAATGCCTCGTTTTGTCGCTTCCAACCTTTTAAGCCCAAACTTCTTTCGTGATGATGGTTCTGATGATGAAGACAAGTCCTTAATTGGCTTGCCAAGTCAAGAACACAAAGAATTTCTCTCTAACAAGGGAATCAAATAGCTTTTGGTAGTACCAAACGGCCAACATCCTCATCTCTTAACTTCACCATTAAAGGGGAAGAGTAATTTATAGAGAATGCAGTTTTTTTTATTGATTGTTTATAGTTTTTTCCCTTTACTTTTTAATTCTATTACTTTTAAGAATTTATTCTTAAACTTATCATAAAAATTACTTCTATTAAAAATATACGATTTTATAGGAAGACCACACTCTTAGGTTGTCCAACTCTCACTTTATGTTGTCGAAACTTTAAAAGTGTTGAAAAAGGGAATATAAACAAAAATTAAGTGAATAATATAGAAGAAAAAAGTAAAGAAAATTTTAAAATAATTCACGAAATCAAGTTACAGAAATAAGGAAAAAAAATTATGTGGTATAGAATAGGTTAAAGTTAGCGCAATATGAAAAGAACATGAGGCATACCTAATATAATATGCAGGGAAATAGACTTTGTCTCGAGACAATATGAAAAGAGAACATGACATGCACTTAGACGAAATGAAAGAAAATGTAAATCGAAGCCAAGATGAACCGAAACATGAAATGGAGTTAGCGCGGTATGAATAGAAATAGGATATGCAGATAACGCAATAGTAAAGTATAACTTATATATGAAGATAACAAGAAAGGAAATGTAAAGTGAACTAAAGCATCACGAAAGTAAACAAGACGAAACATAAATAAAATGGAAACACTTCCAAACAGAATTAATTAATTTAAAAAAAAAAAATTGTATTAATTCGATATGCTTTGTAACCGAGGAAAGATTATGGTGGCACCTCTGCAAACAATCCTTTCATTTTAACTTCACAGATCGAAGGAGGCCCCCAAAACGATTCGTCGTTACCAAGTTCTGGCGACTTGGCTGTATCAATCCTGCTATCACTCCTGGCAGTAATGACTGGAAGCGTGCTAGGAAACGTCGATGGACAGTATTGACCAGGGGAACTTATCGATCTGTCCTTACTGTGCAGTTTTAGGATGGCATTAGACAGACGAGCAGAAAAAGGAAAACTTTGGTTTCTACTGTAACCTGACTTTAATTGGAGATGTTACATTACTTGATGCATCGTTACATCTTTTACATTTCTAAACATCTTCTTTCTATAGCTTTATTTAATTTCAAGTCATTTTTTATGATTTTNAAAATTTGAACAGTTTTAATCAGCTTTATTATTAATGAAGTAACATATAGTACAATAGTTTTAAATAGACTAAATTTAGTAGAGATTGTCATCATGGATAACATATTTTGAAAAAATATTTTTCTACAGTCGACGGAACATTTAGATATTTGTTTAGTTAATTAAGAACAGTGTCTAGTCCCAAGGATTTCGGTCAGGAGATTGTTGACATGTACAGTACATGTACAGTTCCAGTCATTGTTCGAAGGTTTTATCCGTTCGATCACTCGTAAGCAAAAGAATATTTTGGTTGGAATAAATACTCTTACATATTAATATTAAAAAATAATTAAAGTTAAGAAAAAGTTTAAAAAAAAAATTCTGTTATAAAGTAAGCTCATAGAAAAAGCATTAATTTTTATTCCTCAATATATTGTTTTATATAGGCTAAACTTTATTATTATAATTATTAAAGTATAAAGATATTACGCTATAATTTAATTCAATTAGAGAATAGAAATTAAAAATTTTTCGAAAGACTAAAGCTGAAATCACCTTTGCTCTACAAGATAATTAACAATGTCCGAATATGTATTAAAAGAGAAATTAAAGCAATAAGATAAGTAAAAGGTAGATTACAGTTTCATAAAGTATGTTCAGGGACATGAAAATCGAACTGATAAAGACCTAGAATCGCAGCAGGGAGCAGATTCTTTTGAAGTAGAATGATTAAATCACCTTCTATTGGCACGTTAATTACGAGATAGGACCAGATAAAATTTCAGAATGTCGTAAAGTTGATTTATAAGTCTCGAGACAATTATGTCATTAATTATCAATTTAACATAATTAACTGGAAATATTTATAATAAATTCTTCTCTCTCTTTTTTTTATAATTATCAACCACAGATAATTTAATGATCAATTGCATTTCTATTGTATCGAAGATCAAATATTTTCTAGATGAAAAATTTCCTTTAAAATTTTATATTGGAAATATATTTTCAAAGAGTTTACTTGAGAATTTAGTGATTTAGATAAAGATAAATTCATTTTCTCGAACGGTAAACATGGTCGTAAGTTCATTTAAATCGATTTCATATACAAATTTGACAGATCTACAGCTTAGTTTTGATTCATAAATTGATAGAATATAATTATATTAGTTAAAAATTATCATCGAATTATATGAATATTTATTACAAAAAGAAAGTTTGTTATAAAAAAAAAAATACAGTTAGGTGACTTTTAGACAATCCTATACAGGGTGGACCAAAAGTCACTTAACTATATTTTTATAAGCAATTTGCAAAAGTGTGCCAAAGTACTGTAATTTTCGTATTGAACAAAAAAAACAATTTCATTTTGGACAAGTTTTATAAAAAGTTTGTAAACGATGAAGCATTTGAATAAAACAGTAATTTACTCTTTTACAGTGGTTAACTGACTTTTGAACTAAACTTTAAATTCCAGATGAAAAATTTTATTTTTAATTTTTTATTTTACAAATATAAATTAATAACAATTTAACTTGTAATTGCTGTAATTAGAATGATGTTTAAATACTAAGTTGTCACATTAAAGAGTTACTAGAACTATTTGAGGATTATTAGTAGACCGATACTACTATAAATTTTGGAGTAGTCATGGCATTTCTTTAATAAGACAGCAGTTTAACACAATAATTAAATTTTGGAAAAATATTTTTATCGTATTTTATTCGGAGTTTCCTTTGCAATGCACTGAAAGATAGAGACATTACTCAGGAAGTGGAAGAGAGAGAGAGAGAGACCCATTGGTTAGGAAACATTACTTAATATATAATTGAGCGTTCAAACAAAGAAAGAAACCAAAAATCAGACAAAAAAAGCATAATCTAACTGGCTTGATAAGAACCCGTCTATAAGGTTCGATTATACACGTTGTGTAGGGGTTCAGTTCTCTCCCATGTTTGCAGTCGATTTGTTAATTAACTGGTCGATAATTTCATGAAATTTGGGAGGTGGATAACAAGATCTATACTATTTCTTTTATTTCAAAAGTAATAAACCATAAGCTCATATTTAAAAATTTAGTAAAATAAACAATTAAATAAAGTAAATAATCCTTAAAATAAATTGAAGAAAATCTTTATTTTTATAAAACACTTTTATAATAGAACTGTAAACTTAATTTTTAAAAATTAAATAAAAAATAATTAAACTTTTATGTGAAAAATAGAAAAATTCAATTAAATTTATTTGACATATGAAAGAATTCTATTAATAATAAACATAAATCTATACATGTTCATAATAAACTTATAGTTTTTATATAAGGTTATTTTTAAATATTGAAAATTGTTAACAGAAAATATAATTATTAAATTTAATCTTTGTATTAATTTTAATAAATAAACGAGAGGAAAATTTTTCTTACCAATTTGTATTTCTATAACATGTTTACTTCGACGATGAAAGGTAATACACACATATCCATTATTACTGAAAGAAAAAGAATAATAAATATAAATAAAATTAAGTTCTGAATAAATTAATATATTATACATTTTTAAAATATTTTATTTATAATTTCAGCAATTATTTGAATCAATCTTTACTTTCCTTCGCAGCATTAACTTATGTGTGCGTGCTACATAAAGAGAACAACTTCCTTAACCATTCATCTCTACCCCAAAAATTCTGGTGCAAGAGTCTATTAGAATCCTTACACCAGAATTTCTGTGATTTCTTCGTAATTTCTACAGAATTATAAGAATGCTCTTGGTACCCAAGAGTACTAAAAAATACCAGAAGTTGCAGAAGCAATCAAACTACCAACCAAATATATCCTCATATCTATTGTTATGATTCAAATATATCAAAGAATCAATATCTAATCTTTATTGTTTCGCTTTATTATTGTCTTTTTAAAATTTATCTATCTATTTATTGTAATCTTTGACCGTTATTTAGAATTATTCGAAGAAGAAAATTTGTTATTTAGAAAAATATATAAAAGGCATATTATTAATTATAGATAACCTGTAATATTTATTCTAATTAATGGAAAAGTTAAAATGACTAATTATAAGCCCAGTTTTAAAATTTTATTCGTATTTTTACTATTAAATACATTGTAATAGAAACAATCATGGCAATATGTAGTTACATTAATTAATCATGTAATTAATGTAACTATCCAAAGCATCGTCGTAGAATATGCTTTGCACATTTATCATCATTTAATGATGATGAACATCCAAAACATTTTATAATCTTCCTATAAACTTTTTGTATATAACAATAATAATCTATGCCCTGGTTTAATCTAATACTTTGTAAAATTTGAAATTTTTTTCAAAATTAATGCATTAAAAACTCACTTTAATCCTTTAAAAGCTCGTTGTTCCTTTAATTTTAAAATAATATCGAGTAAATTCTTTAAATTAATATTTTTCCAATTATTTTTTTAGTTTTTAACGTGTCATTTTACAAAAAATTTCTACATTTCTAGGTACAGAACGTTCTCGTTCTTCTCGTTTTTATTCCGGTTCTAATCTAATCTTTAAATTTAAATCTTTCACTTTTGATTCATTTGAAATACGATTCATTTCTGAAACACGATATAAAATTGTAAACTTTTTTTTATTTCCTCTAACAAAATTTCCTTTTTTCATCTTTATTCATCCTATTTCTAAAAATATCTTTTACATCATTCCATTTTTTATATTATGACGAAAAGATTCTTCCTCAAATTTAATATTTTCAAATCTTTCCTACAGTATTATATACGTTTTAAAAACCAATTTATAGAATAATATAACTAGATAATTGATTATTTTATTAAAAATTTCACAATACTGCCTTATAAACTTGATTTGCTTAAGATGTCATACTTAATTCGAAGAAGTCCACGACTTTGACTTCGATGAGAATAAATTATTTGCTTAATACTCAAATTAAGCTTATTGCATTCCAAACGTAGCTTAAAAATGGATCCTTCTATAATATAATTTCTCACAAGAACGTGTTTATTTAGCTTAAATAAATAAAAATAAATGATAAAATTTGAAAGAATATTCAGCAATATATTTAGTGTTCAAAACCTTTCACAGTTTATCAAACTTGTTGGATAACTCGTACATAAAGAAAAATACCATAAAAAGAAGCTATAGACGCACCAACATTCCGATTTCAATCTAAACACCCTCTATTTTGCCCGCAAAATCTTGTCCATCTGTATGAGAGGACAGCCTTGCTTTTCTCCTGTTTGATATTCCATCCTTCCAACAAAGGCTGCTTTCTTATGTCAAATAAACTACCCTCCATGCAAAATTCAACGGATCATCACAGATATGAAGTCTATAGCCATCTTCCAACACGAAGGTATAGCGAGAATCGTACCGGTTTTACAAACATCAGAGTTTTTATTTTCGGAAGGACCGTAGAAGCGCAACTAGAAAATTTGAACCGTGCAATCGATCACGTGTTAAACTTTTCTCCACCCTATAGTGGTTCGGAAAGAAGCCTGGTGGGCAAAGATGAGCCTTTGCTTTACCGCAGGCGGAATATAATATAAGTCTTTGCACTAACTGATCAATAGGATGACGTTACTCATCTGTTTTCTGCTTCTGGCGCATTGGAAGTAAAGTAAAAGCAACTTTTTGTAAAAGATTCTCTACTCCACCTTAGGATATATTTGTATGTGGACAGTAGGAAATTAAAATCAAGAAACAAATAATTTAATGTAATGATACAATTTCCTATCTGTCACTGCGCTTCCTTTGCTTCATCAACTCTGGAGATTGCTCTTTGTTTGTAGGATCATTTACTTCCTTTCTCCTCTTTCTTTCTATTTATTCTCATTTACAAAAATTAATTAAATATAATTAGTTTAGGAAATAAATATCAATCGAATGAAAAGTTTTAATTTTAAACATTTTAACCAAACCATCATAAACAGGCATTTTTCTTAAATACCGTAAATCAAAATCTAATTATCCGCAATTAAAATTAATTTTCTAAAATATTTAAATCATTTTTTAAAAAATATATATACATATAATTTAAGTGATTTATTAACCTTATTTTTACTGAGGAAAAAAGTTCGAGAAGATAATGTTAATGGCTATAATCTGGCTAAATTGTGGTCTCAATTAATTCCAGATAGAATATTATCAAGCTGAATAATGCAAGATTGTATATTCAATTTAAATTTATGTATTCATCCGAAATCACGTTCGCAAGGCGAAAACGCAATCATGAGAATGGATAAGTAAATTTCAATTCTCCACTTAACACATAATCGCTGCTTCACTTACACGATTTTCAGATAAACAGAGTAATAAAGTTTCAAAAATAGCTTAGGATAAACGAAAGTATGTTTTCTTTAGATTTTAATTAACTTTGCTATATTTTCATAAGAAGATGTTTTACTTTAAAATTCCTGCCATTACTAAAAACGATATCAATCTTTCATATTTTTTTCTTTTTTTATTTTATTTTTCTTGTATAAAAACAGATTAAAAACTTTCATTTATTAAAATATGACGCAAATCTATCAAAAATGCAATGTAAAATTTTCCATTCATATAATACGATCCATTATTTATTAAACCAAATCCATCATTTATTAAAATAAATTATAAATTTATTATATATTTTTAATAAAAAGTTTTATTTTTTAAAAGTAAAGGAAATCGTATCAAGTTTTTTTTAAACATAAAATAATATTTTTTAAATTAATATTATGGAAAATTATTTTATACTAAAAGTCTTTCTGTAATGAAGCATCCACGGAATGTCGAGCATCTCTATTTAACTCGAGATAATTACATAAATTTTACAAATAAAAATTAATTTATCATCTTTAACTAATATTTATCAAAATAGAGAAAAGTATTAAAACAATTTTATACTTATTAAATTAAAATATGCTTGTTTAACCAACTAAAAACCAGTATTTGTATGAAGACAAGTTGTAAATAATGCAACATCAAAGTTATATCTTCGTTTTCTTTGTGTTATTTCACTTTTTTAAGAAATCATTTGTTTCATTTTTAGATTATTTCAACACTCTTCTTCTTCTTCTTCTTCTTCTTCTCCTCACCATTTATTAGCATTTATTATTAATTAAAATATTTAATTCTTAATAAAAGATTTCATTTAGAAAATATTAAAATTTCCTTTACAAAAGGCTTCCACTTTGTATTAAGATTTACACGAGATAATAATTAGAAAATTTTATTTTATATTTTCAACTGGTAATCAAGAAAATGGAGAAAAATATTGAAAAATCTTCCGCTTATTAAACCAAAAATACTGTTTATTACTAACTCAAAACCAATATTTGTATTAACACAAACAACCTCTTTTTTTATGTTACTTCAACTATTTTTTGTAAAGAACATTTACTTCATTTTTAGATTATTCCAATAACCTATTCTCCTTCTCTCATTATGTCCTCACTTTGTCATTATGTTCCCTTCCGAAAATATATATATATTTTTNTGATTATTTTATTAAAAATTTCACAATACTGCCTTATAAACTTGATTTGCTTAAGATGTCATACTTAATTCGAAGAAGTCCACGACTTTGACTTCGATGAGAATAAATTATTTGCTTAATACTCAAATTAAGCTTATTGCATTCCAAACGTAGCTTAAAAATGGATCCTTCTATAATATAATTTCTCACAAGAACGTGTTTATTTAGCTTAAATAAATAAAAATAAATGGTAAAATTTGAAAGAATATTCAGCAATATATTTAGTGTTCAAAACCTTTCACAGTTTATCAAACTTGTTGGATAACTCGTACATAAAGAAAAATACCATAAAAAGAAGCTATAGACGCACCAACATTCCGATTTCAATCTAAACACCCTCTATTTTGCCCGCAAAATCTTGTCCATCTGTATGAGAGGACAGCCTTGCTTTTCTCCTGTTTGATATTCCATCCTTCCAACAAAGGCTGCTTTCTTATGTCAAATAAACTACCCTCCATGCAAAATTCAACGGATCATCACAGATATGAAGTCTATAGCCATCTTCCAACACGAAGGTATAGCGAGAATCGTACCGGTTTTACAAACATCAGAGTTTTTATTTTCGGAAGGACCGTAGAAGCGCAACTAGAAAATTTGAACCGTGCAATCGATCACGTGTTAAACTTTTCTCCACCCTATAGTGGTTCGGAAAGAAGCCTGGTGGGCAAAGATGAGCCTTTGCTTTACCGCAGGCGGAATATAATATAAGTCTTTGCACTAACTGATCAATAGGATGACGTTACTCATCTGTTTTCTGCTTCTGGCGCATTGGAAGTAAAGTAAAAGCAACTTTTTGTAAAAGATTCTCTACTCCACCTTAGGATATATTTGTATGTGGACAGTGGGAAATTAAAATCAAGAAACAAATAATTTAATGTAATGATACAATTTCCTATCTGTCACTGCGCTTCCTTCGCTTCATCAACTCTGGAGATTGCTCTTTGTTTGTAGGA